CACAACATGGTGTTACTGCAACACTCTGGACTGAGTTAAAACAAATTCAGGGCTTATCATCTGCTGGGAAGTAGTGGGTGACAGGTATCCCTCATGGACTTGTATCTCAAGGAATGTTCAAGGTACGTGGGCTCAAGGAACACCTCTCAGTGCTGTGCAGAGTCAGTAATCTCTGTGAAGGAATTCTCTCTGAGCAGGTGCAGGCTGTGGAGCTTCCCTAGCTGCCTACTAGAGAGGCATGCGCCCAGCAAACTCTGATGTACCCAGCACATCACTGTTAACTCCATTGGGAAAGAAGGAAAAAAGGAAAATGAAAGTTCGCTGTTCATAAAACTTCTTTTGTTTGCTAGGCTCTACCAAGATTCTCATCCCTATTAATGCACGTAGACATACAGCTTGGTCTCACTTCATGTGGAAAGGAATGTTTCCATAGAAGAAAAATCCAGGCATATACAGAGATCTTTTTGCTTCCTCTCCTACGTACAATCTCTCCGCAATGAGTCGCCTCCTCCCAGAGACTGACACCTACAGCTGACAATCTTTGCAGTTTGGATTCAGTCCTATAGTTTTGTTACAGTGAATAGTTATTAGTAAAACGGGAAGCAGAAATAGAGATGGGAAACTATTTTCATCAAGCAAGAATTCATGTGAATACAATGATGGGAGTGACAGCCCTTAATTGTGTTGATGTAAAAGTATTTAGTAGGCCAGTTATAAATAAACACTCCAGTGGCAGAACGACTTGATTTTCTACATGCAGTTAACACTCCTTTCTGCTTCTTAGAGGTAAAGGAACTCAAGGCCTTAAAAATTCCAACCAATCAAACCCCACCAGCAATTCTCAAGTTACCTTCAGTCAGACTGTACCATGTGTCATGCAGCATACTTTCACACTCCTGACCTATTTTCTCAACTTCACAGCTTGGGAACTGATTAAAACACACTGAGATTTATGGATTTAAACCTACCCCTGAGCTAACATCTCATACAACCATTACTTCAGTCCTAAACCCAATATATCTTAAAAAAGAGGTTAAGATAGCATAATCAATCTCTTTATCCCAACAACCTGTGATAAAATGTAGCCATTCTTCAACAAAAGGTATCACTATATTGTCAATAAAATAATAAGGTGAAAAGGACCAACTTACTTTATCAATGTTTGTGTTATCAAGGGCAGCATCTATCTCATCTAAAATAAAAAAAGGTGCTGGCCGAAAACTGTAGAAGACAAGAGAGTATTTGGCATTTAGATGCAAAAGTGTCACCGCACATTCTCATTACTGTTGAGATTCACTTACTCACATCATAACGTTTTCCTAAGACATAATGGCAGGTAAAAAATAAATGTCTTCAGTAAATGTCTGCATACTCTTATTAGCAGATCTTTTTTCTCATGGTTGTAAGGTACTTTCCTGCCGTCTACTCAGCCACATACAAGGATAACACCATAGCATTTCTTTTTACCTGTGTATAGCAAACAGAAGAGCCAGAGCTGCCACAGATTTTTCACCTCCTGACAAACTGTCCATTGGCATAAAGCGTTTTCCTGGAGCCACGCAGTTAAAGCCGATGCCTTCCAGATATGGCTCCTCAGGATTTTCAGGACTAAGGAATGCCTGGGAACAGATACATTTAGTTATTCATGACATTTATAGCAATGTCAAGATGAGTATTTTTAGGTTTAAGTACTGACTGAGCTCGTAAGTTGCTTCATTTGTTCGTGACACCTGTTCATCTGCACTGCAGAGCAGCACCATAAAATCTCCCAGTGAATATGCCTTTGTTAACAAACCACGAGCTAGGTGGCTAATTAACAATTTTGGAAGTGGCTCCATGTACTTATTATTTACATGCTTTCAATTACTAAAATAAACTTGATTTTATCACCTTTTAATGCAATTGCACTTTTTTCAATTATTAAAATTTTAAACTTCAAAAGCAGTTTTCTCCTTTGTTTGCAAGTAAATATACTTCCAAAGCTACATTTTTTTTTCATGAAAGGTTAGTTTTACAAAATCTAGCTTTGCAGTGGAGAAAGATTTTAACATCGCTAGGCTTCCTCTATACTTTGTATCCTGGTTCCCAGGTCTAAAAATTAAAGGTATTATTTTAAAGGAATGGCCATTTTACCAAACCATTAAAAAGCTTCTCCATCATACTAATTGCTACATGGTTTATTTTTCCTGTTAAATAAAAGAGACATCAAAATAATACAGTCTCTTTC